TCTGCGCATGTCTGGATGCGTTGAGTCACCGTGTTGTACCACATGCCTTGGTGAGAGCAAGTTCATGGGGTATAAATACGAGTGTCTCACGTATCTAGACGTGTACCAAGTTGCACTGACGAGGCGTTGAACGCCGAAACATGCATGTCTGCAGATTGTACTATATATATATATATATATATATATATATATATATATATATATATATATATATATATATATATATATATATATATATTTATATATTATATATATATATAATATATATATATATATATATATTTTTTTTGAGAACAATGTCTCCTGATGATCGCAGTGATGCGTGAAACTCGGAGTAGAGACAAAAAAACGAAATGGTTTTCTTTCCAATATTTGTTTTTACAAGTGGTTTATAAAAGTTTTGGTTTTGCAAGAATGCACATCAGTTACAAATCTAAACCAGTTGTCAAAACTAGATGGCAACTGGTTTGTATGCCATAATTGAGCAAATTGAAGAGCATGAAGTTTGAATGCATTATCAACTGACAAAAAGTTTAGCAGATTCAGTAATGGCAGAGCACTTTCAGTGTTCTTACCATATACTTTGGCAAAAAACATTAGCCTAACTATTCTATTTTGTTTTGTTTGTAGTTTATTAAGATGTGAATAATATGTATTACCCCATGCTAAAATTGCATAGGATATATAACTTTATGGGATATGACTTTTAGGATATGTAAAATATTGTTTTTAACACGAGAAGATAAAAGTCATATATCTTCAAGCCACCGTGTAATGTTCTGTTTATTATATAGTCCCAAGCAAAAAATTGTATAAATACTAAAAGTTACGTGATCGATATCTGTACTAGTCAAGATATGGAAAATATCTCACTGTGTATTTTCAGTATCTCACTCTCTACTATATAATAAAGTACATTAAGTTTTCTCTATCTTATATTTTAGGCGGCAAAATTATTTGATCATCCTCACCTGGTGAGCTCAAGTAAATTTGTGTTATATTGCATTGCATTGTATTGTGTTTTATCGTATTGAATTATATGTAAGATGCCGTCTCACAAACACTTTCGTTCGTCCTACAGATCGATTCAGTCTACTGCGGGGAAACAATGTCAACATTGTCATTTCTGCAAAACATGCTACAAGTCACCTGCAGTACGTCATGTAAGGAAACACGAGAGTCTGTAGATGAAATCCCGTTCTTCTCTCGTGCACGAAAGAGTTCAACACCGCTTGTGTGGAAATATTGTCATGGGAAGGTGACAGGTGTCTGTTTTAAAGACAAGTTGGCTTTGGAAAGGTGAGTACCGGAAAGGCCAGATGGAGACTTTTTATTCGGAAGGCGACACTAATTTTGCGGGTTATTCGCGTCACAAGGAATCCCCCAACTTTTTTAGTTTTATACGGAGAGTTTTTTAGTGATTGACTCTTATCGGTTTATCGCTATACGAAATACCACTCCTATATTAGTCACCTTTCTTTTAAAAGGATGAAGCTTTAGTTATTTATACCATTCAGAAAATTACGGCCACATAACTTTTAGATTTAGCTGCCTGCTGGACATTGTCGGGGAGCTATTTTCGGGTGGTTGAAGAACGGTATAAGATTTCAAAACATATTCTCAAAAATCTCCGCATACTTTAGCAATAATTATTCACTGCCAGTTTTATGACTCTGTAATAAAAAATGGTGGACTACTTGATTTCGTGGGGAGCACTAGTTTCGAGAGGGGGTGTTGCTTAAAGAATTAACGGTAATTAAATGTAGAAACTTGACAGGCTCGTAATAATTATTTAAATTTTTTGCAGATATCAAACACATTACAAGCTAGCTGCACGAACCGCAAAACCTCCCGGTAAGATTAAACGAGGAACCTCAAGAACTGAATACGTTTCATCAACCTTACCCTCGTCTGAAAGAAGTTTACCGTCATCTGAGCAGTCTCTTCGAGCTTTGGTTGGGAATATCAATCTTCGTGAAGTAGCAGAAACACCTGGTCGTTATCATGGAGGATTTCAGTGCAGAGATAGTGTCTTTGATATGAATGTTGAAGTGCTGGAACAACGCTTAAAGATAACTTGCAAATGTAAGTGGAAGACCCAAACCTCTCTTTACAGATACCTCTCTATTACGGACAATTTTGTTCTTGTAGTGATTAAATTCTCATATGTTTTTAAGAAACAACCTGTATAATAGGAATACTCTCTAACAAAACTAAATCTCGGCCCCAGTTAGCAAATACATACACATACACATACAGTACACATAAGTTAAAGAGGCTCAAAATAACGTTCAGCGGTCAAATTCGTTCGACGTCGATCCAAGTGACCGGTCACATTTTGCTTCCTGGAACGAGATTTATTTTTCAGATGTATTGTGGACTCGTTAAATATAATGTTAATTTGTAAGGGTTTTCTTGGCTTGAATCGGAATGATTCCGCTCTGATTGCTCTCTCGAAGATGAAGAGACAATTGTTTTTCGAGGACACAAATTGAACCTAACTGTCACCGTGATCGGCCAATCATGAAACGTTATTTTGTGTCTTGCTGCCTCTCTAATTTATCCTAGGGCTATTTTGGGGCTTTTTGCATTTACAGTGTTAGACCCCCGCGGTCTCGCCATTGGCTGTAATCGACTGAAATTTTGTAGGCACTGGCTCAAGTAGGCAGCCATACGATGTTCAAGTGATGTTGAGTGACTCATCGGGTAAGTCTATTGTAGGGAAAAAAATAAGATGGGTATATTCATTGAGAAGCTATACTCTCTTATGGAACACGCCCATTGTTTCTTTTTAGATAAATAACTTTTATAAGCCCTCTCTAAGCTTTACCAAAATAATAATAATAATAATAATAATAATAATAATAATAATGATGATGATGATAATAATAATAATAATGGAAACTTTATTTATTGATTATTAGGATATATACAACTACAATGATAAACCTCGCTTTACAGGTAGTTTATCAATGTCTACTTGAATTGATACTATATATTTATTGTACAATAATTATTTTAAGAAGGATTATATTAACATTAATTTTGGGTTATCCCACACCTTGTTTCGTTTACAAAATACATAATATGATGTTCGTATGCATATGTTCACGATTTGCTTTTTTATGTATTTACTATACTTGGCATCACATTTAAGGCTACTTAGCATGCCATCGAAATTTTCACAAGATCGGCCAAAACCTCCGAGGGTACTCAAGGATAAATTGACGAACTTGACTTTATCATAATCTGCTTCCTGCTCATTGATTAGATCACTGTACTTTTGACGCTTACGATTGGCGTTAACTAGCAGATTGGATTCATAACCGACTGTAAGCTCGAGGATGTATAGACATCTGTTTTCAGTCACCAGCAGAAGGTCAGGTCGTAAACGATCTCCCGTGATAACAGATGGATTCATAAAACCAGGAATGTCCGCGTAAAGTGTGTAATTTTTCACAGCAGTAAGAGTGGATGCGAGGAAATTTAAAACAGAATCGTGTCGCCATGTAAACCGGCCTTCGTCTAAATATGTCTTACATCCAGCAATCACATGGAGCAGCGTTTCAGGTGAGGAGCAGAAAGAGCAATCGGATGTTGATGATAGTCCCCATTTTGATAGGTTCTTTCGTGTTGGAAGTGTGTTATTGATATATCGGATGGTGAAGTTAAAAATGTTTTTCGGAAGTTTGCTCTGAACGGATGACCATAAAGAGTTGAATGTGGATGTGGAATGATTCATGATACTGGAAAAGAAAGAACCTTGCGAAATGAGGTGGTTTTGAAGTCTTTGTTCGTTTTCTTTTCTAACTGCCTTAAGTACGTCTTTTGTGTCTTTGTAAATGTCATACTGTATGTTCTTGTTGGTGCTCGTCACCGCCCATAGATTGTTAATATCTATGTTTGGTGAGTATTTTAAAGCTGATCGAGAGACAGTTTGACATTGGATAAATTTTGTCGAAGGGAGAATAATATTCAGACCAAATTTGTTTTGTGGAAGCAACACGTTGCTAAGGGTTGCAGAGACAGGAAGTTCCAGCCATTATAATAATAATAATAATAATACTAATAATAATAATAACATTTATATAACGCCTATACCAAAATGTTCTAAACGACCCCATCTCTCAAATATACATGAAGTAAATAAGCCCGCGGTACCTGACTATGTTTGAGGACTTAAACATATTCCTCAAATTATTTCTCTGTAGGATTACTTGAAGCCCACTGTTCGTGCCCAGATGTTGCTGGTAAGACCGGCAGATGTAAACATGTGATAGGCTTGCTCCTTAACTATAAAAATCACCAGACACCGAGTGCGGTAAGTGTTTTTGTTCTTATTTCTTTCTCAGTGAATTTCCACAAAACGGGTAGCCGCCATTTTGAATATTTCTGTTTTGTTATATTCACCTGGTGAATATAAGAGCTTAATACGTCAAATTTGACCAATCAGCGTGTAGGATTTGTTATGTTCACTTGTGCAAAAATACTAATTGCTTATACTATTGGTTGCTTACATTAAATTGGTCTGGAAAATCAGGAATTAGTATTTTTGCACAAGTAAACATAACAAATCCTACACGTTGATTGGTCCAATGTGACGTATTACGCTCTTATATTCACCTACAGGTGAATATAAATCAAATCATATTTATTTCCGTATCACTGGTATCAATGAGGGCCCTACAGGCTATAACAAAACAGAAATTTTCAAAATGGCGGCTACCCGTTTTGTGGAAGTTTACTGACAAAGAAATAAGCGAAATTAAAATAAATTCAGTCTTAAAAAACACAAAAGCTTGTGTAAAAATACTAAAACAATTATTCGCCTCAGACTCGGTGATTATCGAGGATTATTATATATCAATAGTCAAAGTCGCATTTTTCTAGTGTTTTATTGGTTGAGAGTATATCACGTGAGAGTGACGAAATTAAGCTGTCTCCCTCGCAACAGCGCGAGAGGGAAACAATATGTTATCGACCGGCGAATAACAAAAAAATCACGTGCGCCATCACGTGAAGATGCGACCTTTGAACATGCCTAGTACGTAATTAAAACTTTCGCTTTAAGTAACTGCAGTGTAGCCAGTGTTTAATATAACGTTTTAACGATAAAATATTTCATGCATTTACATTCGCTTGTTCTCTAATTTGTTGTTTCGTTGACTGTTGATATATAATAAAACACTTATTTACTGAGACCTCGGGAAAGCAGTGTGTTTTGTGGACCCTCGACCGTCGATGTTTCCCTCGGCTTCGCCTCGGGAAACATCGACGGTCTCGGGTCCATAAAACACACTGTTTCCCTCGGTCTCAGTGAATAAGTGATAAATAGTCATCAAGTATTGGTTAAGAATAAATAGTCCAATTATGTATGAAAACCAGTTTGTGGGTACGTGTATGCAATCAATCACGATTCACGTTGCATGTCCGATCGCAAAATTCAGCGATATTTTGTTAGAGATGTGTAACTTTAATTCTTTAAAAAATACTAGGCTACAATTTAGAAGGAAAGTGATATTAATAATGTAGTTAAAAGTATCAAAAACAAGTTATGCATTTGAAAGATTTAATATCATGTGAATAGATCAGATTCAACATCTTAGCAAATTGCAAGTTTTTCAAACTTGTAAAACCTAGTATAGAACTTGAAAGCTATTTATCTCAAGTTAAAATTGTGAAACATCGTCAAGCAGTGACTAGGTTTAGGATATCCGCTCATAAGTTACCAATTGAAACTGGACGATATGCGAATATTAAATATGATTTACGTCTATGTCCATTTTGTAACCCAAATGAGATTGGGGACGAATACTCACTACATTTCACATTGTCCTAACAAAAGGTTAGAAAAACTGCGTGAAAATTTTTTAAATGAGTTAGTTGATTTTAATTGCAAATTTAGCTCGTTGAGTACAAATAATTTATTTTTATACTGTGTGTCAATGAATGACAAAAATATCATTAATTCTACGGCCAAGTACATATATGAAATACTGAATACTTTTTGGGATCTTGCCTGCATCTAGCTCTTTTTTGACTTGTCCTTGTTTAAATTTTGTTATTGTTGTAAATATTATTATTACTCTGTTCTGTTATAATGTTATTTTCATAGCTTATAATATACATTTGCTGTGTTCTATATATACCAGTATTGGTATTTTTGTTTGAATAAAGTTATTATTATAGCCCTTCGTATCTATCGATGACAAAAAAGTCAAAAACCGTTGTAAGAGAAGCGTTTAACTGCTTCAGACTGGCCTTTTAAAACAAAACTGCTTCTATCATCGGAAGTTCTCCAAGAACTTTATAATTTATATATTGATGCGACAAATGTTACGGTCCTGAACAAGGGACCGGTCATAAAGTATTTACTAGGGGGTGTGGAGGATGTTTTTTGGGGGTACGAAAAAAACCCAGAACTTCTGAGGGGGGTACGGAAAAAAACAACAGAACTTCTAGGGGGGTACCAAAATCTTAATGCTATAGGTACGGGAAAAAATTACATTTTATAATTATTGTTGAATATTGAATGTATTTGTGCCCAGATTTAAGTTTGGAAAAACTGTTTTACTATAATTATTATTAAATCAACACAAAGTATATATGTTTCAGTCTGACTCAATGTCAGATGATAAGTAGGATTCAGTATCCATGGAACTTTTGGAGTACAAATCTGATATATCTGAATTGTCAATGACAATGCTAGCAAGCTAACACAATTAGAACCTGTTAATGAAAGGGGGTGGGGGTACGAAAATTTTCACTTACATTGAAAGGGGGTTACGAGATTTTTGGGAGGGTATGGAAATATGTACTTGAAATTTCATTTATCCTCCACCTCCCCCCCCCTCCCCACTCTAGTAATTGCTTTATGACCGGTCCCTAAATATGTCAGATCTTGGTGGACACCGAGTTCCAGTAAATTCATAGATTGAAAGCAATTCATTAATACCTAATAAAACCATTAATTATTTCGCCGTATTTTTGTGTAGAGTCATGTTGATTCCAGTGGCGAAAGTAATCCTCGAAGTGGCGAAAATAATCGTGCATCAAGGAACAATAAACGTGGTGTTCAGACGCTGTATTGTATGAGTCAAGAGGAATTCATGGAAACTGCCAAAGAAATTTTAAAAATGGTAAGTCCTTTATACATCGTAAATGATATGTTTATAGATTCATAAGTGATATGTCTATAGATGCGGTCGAGTCAAAAGAGTTTTTTTTTCAGAATGAGAAGAGACAAATACAAGAGCATTCCCTGGCGGAGGAACCTCGCAACAACAATGGAAATATGTTAGCAAACCAACAGAAAGACAGGTTTGAATATTTTTTTTTTATTTCTCTGCATCTGTATACTACTGCCTGTAATGTGCTTTTCAGCGGCTGTAATATGCTTTTCAGCGGCTGAAAAGTTCGAGTCACTTTAAAACCTCGATTTAAATACAACCCTAATCCATTTGCCACCATTTTTTTATTTCACATTGGTTCATGTTATTGATAACCATTGTTCAGGATAATCATGACCACGATATCCTGGTTGACTTAATAATAACCATGGTTATGTGCACAAACAGTTGCCCAAATAACCAAGGTTGATCATAATGACTACCATGGTTGACCTACCATGGTTGATCATAATCACCACCATGGTTGACCATAATCACCACCATGGTTAATCATAATCACCACCATGGTTAATCATAATCACCACCATCGTTAATCATAATCACTACTATGGTTAATCATAATCACCACCGTGGTTAATCATAATCACCACCATGGTTAATCATAATCACTACCATGGTTAATCATAATCACTACCGTGGTTAATCATAATCACTACCATGGTTAATCATAATCACTACCATGGTTAATCATAATCACTACCATGGTTAATCACAATCACTACCATGGTTAATCATAATCACTACCATGGTTAATCATAATCACTACCATGGTTAATCATAATCACTGCCGTGGTTAATCATAATCACTACCATGGTTAATCATAATCACTACCATGGTTAATCATAATCACTACCATGGTTAATCATAATCACTACCATGGTTAATCATAATCACTACCATGGTTAATCATAATCACTACCATGGTTAATCATAATCACTACCATGGTTAATCATAATCACTACCGTGGTTGATCGTAATCGCTACCATGGTTATTCGTACCATGGTTATTCGTACCATGGTTATTCGTACCATGGTTATTTGTACCATGGTTATTTGTAAGCGGTTGTACACATGCAAACACTCTACTGAGCTTTTATTGCAACTGTGCATTGTTTTTTTTTCAAATGAAACGTACGTTGAGGTAAATTCTGGATTATGTAAATTACCGGTCACTCCAATGACGAAATTTGAAACATAAGTTTTTAATATAGTTCAGGACATTGATTACGTCTGTCAGAGGAAAGCCCATGATCTCACTTCGTTTAAGTGGATTTTCAGACCTTCTGTCCATACTCCATTGCGCTGGTTTCACCATCCTGCCGTTTCTGCCTGGCGTATAATTGCGCAGTAGCTATATATGCTTATTTTCTGCATTTCATAGATCCACTGTGGACCAAGTAGGCGACGTTTTGAAGGAAGTTCTTTTTTCCGCCATAAACAAATCGGGAAAATCTCCCAAGAAATTGTGCCCGGAAAGAATACATAGTTTTGCTGAAGATACTCCAGTGGACAGACTGCCTTGTTATCACCAGAGAAGCGATTCTGTTACTTCAGTAATTATTCCAGACAGTTTAGTCACAGAGACTGTAAGTTTAATTCCAGAAACAATACGCGCTGTGTCCACGTCCTCGATACACTTGAGTTACGAGAAACATGAGCCACGAGATAGGAGATTGGCAAGCGATAGTTTTGAAGCATTTTTAGATGAAGTGATGTAGTCGTAGATCATTATATCGCCACAGGCTTAAGTTATTATATGACGAGATAGGAGATTGGCAAGCGATAGTTTTGAAGCATTTTTAGATGAAATTATGTAGTCGTAGATCATTATATCGCCACAGGCTTAAGTTATTGTATGACGAGTTCATGTCAGGCTGAAATTTTTCTCATGCATGACTTTCGAAAATCCAGATAACGTGCAAGCAAAGTGGAATCAGTGGAAGGGCCAAATTTCCGAAGGGGGGATCATATTTCCTAGGAAATATGGCCCCCAGGGCGGCCAAATTTCCTAGGAAAGTTGGCCCGGGGGGGGGGGGCAAAGTTTGGGGGGCCAAATTTCCTGGGACATCGGGACCACGTAGGCCCTACGAATACGCTGAATAGTGATTTTTGGGATTGTCTGCGGGAAATTTCAATTAAATACCACATTTACTTTCTCGAGCTTTCCGATAGCTCGCCACCTCGATCTTGTGGACAATGTGTGGAAGTGACAACCGCCCTTTCCATGAGCCTCCGAAATTCCCACCTACTGGGTGCTCCTTCCTACCCATGCGTCGACAATTATATCTGCAAATTCTGCTCTAGAAAGATGTGAAATGTCACATTTACTATAAGTGATTATAAAGCAAACGTTCTTTACCTTCGGAGTACCCGGCCTTTACCCGCATGCGAAAGTAACCGGATGTTCTTTTACTATGCTATAAATTAACAGTAAGTGTGACATATCTAGCGTAAAATATTCCCGATACCTATCTTTATTGACGGACTATAACTTCTCAAATGACCTACGTGTGCTCTGCCGAAATTTGTAAAAACAAAGAACGATTAAGAATGCTTGTGTGTTAAATTTTGCCTCGTTAGACCATTTATTTCGCTGCAAAAAAAAATAAACAACAATTGTATTTTGGCCATGTCATGATTTTTTGTTATTATGTTAATAATTTTGTACGACTTTTAAGGCATTCAATTGAAGTAAATCTGAGCCGTAAACATATTTTACTTCTTGGCCTTTGAATCAAAATACGACTCGCTCGGACGTTTGTTGAGCGCAATAGTCGAAAAAGTTTCGTCCCAACTTTGATTTTTTTTGACCGGCTGGCCAAGACAACTTCTCGTAAGGATTCGTTAAAAAAATACAAATTCAAGTTGAGCATTTCTTGATTTTCAACTGAAAAGATCAACTAGTGGCTAAAATTAATTATGAATTGTATTCTATCGAACGTGAACGATACGTGTACATACGAAGAGTTTTAAAAACCTTTCACGTCATGCTTCTTGCGAAAGCAACCGTTCGTAAGCTTTCGCAAGCGTTTTGAGCAAAAACCATAGGCAGCCCAGCAGTATTACCTGAAAATACAATAGCAGAATCTACTAAATTATCGTATAACATCGGAATTTTACCCCCAATATCTATTTCTTCATCAAAACTTGACTACAAAACAGTCAAAACTTTCAGCTCAGTTTTCCCGCCATATTTATCCTTGCCATATAAGACAACGTCGCCATAGTAACCACAAAAACTTGTTACCAGTTCATTGCATCACACATCGATCGGTGCGCCTATAGCCGTTTCACCGCCCT